TGGTCACTAAGATAATGACATGACGTATTGACAACCCCCAAGTAGCTGGCTAACCGAGATTGGCTAGTGATAGTAGACTGAGGTTCCCTTGGGTGCTTTTGAACTAAGAGCTAAAATACATTCTGATTATTTAAATAGTAGCGTAACATATTGACAACCTCCAAGTAGCTGGCTGACTGAGGTTGGCTAGTGATAGTGGACTGAGGTTCCCTTGGGTGCTCTTACATGTTATTGCCAAAATTAAAAGTGTTAGAAAGATATTAACATAGTTTTTTTAATACTTAGTATAAAAAGTCACCCCGAGAGTGTAAATAAATTCTGGATATCAGTAAACGAAGAAATAGTTAAATCCGAATTAATTAGTATTATATTTATATCCAAACTGATTCCTTATTATTATAAATAGAATGAATATGACTTGACTGTAGGGATTGGAACCGTTTAACCGTTTAAAAATTGTCCATAATTCCGGGCAGAATTATGTTGGTCGTAGGCCGGAGTTATCTTAATGCCGGCCAAATTAAACGATTAAACGATTAAGAAAAATTTTAGGCGGTTCCAATCCCTACTTGACTGTAGTTACCAATGTGAATAAACAAATGGGAACATATGTAAATGCTATCACCACTCGTTAGTTAAAAAATAAAAATTTGGTTTTATATGCAATCTTTTAGTCAATGGCAGATTCGTGACGCAGACAATGTTAAGGTTAGCGTTTATATTAGGGTTAAGCATTAACAAGACATATAGTAAAATCATTCAAGAAAAACCTTTTATTAAAACACTAAAGGTGTTTCTTGTGTTTTGAGAAATAAGCGATTTTTGACAAAATTGACTCTTGAATTTCCCAATTGTGTTACATCACACTTGATCTTGAAATTTGAATGGTAGTTCAGGAAATCTGCACCACAAACCTGGCACATTTTTGACGTGCATTTTAGAAAGTAGATGATTTAAATATTGTATGTTGTTTAAATCTTTGAAATCGACGAATACATATTAGTTTATTATTACACGCACATCTTATGTTTTCGCGATAATTTTATTAAATCATTTTAAATTGACTGGTTTTATATTCAGAGTACATAACAATAAAATGATGCTAAAATGAATATCGTTTATAACAGAAATCCAAGCCGTCTTTGAATATATGGTAATCTAAATACTATGTTTTGTACTGCGCTAAAGGTAGCGGATGTAAGCCAGTATACACATATTGCCTAGATAGAATAATTCAGTTTGTTAAAAGTATCATTCATGAATACAACAAGTAAGTATTAAAACTTGCGCAACTAACCGTTGGAGCCTGGGTGCAAACCGGTACCATGATTAAGCATAATACACGTCCGATATTTTTAATAATTATTTGTTTTTTGGTAGGTGTCCCTTTAGAAAACCATGTTTGAAACTAACATTAAATAAATATGATATTATTTAAATAATAAAATATATGAATAGAGTAAAATAAGGTTTAAATATACTTCAATATTAAATAGGTTCGTAATCCCAACAGCCAAAGGGAAGAACCAAGTTGAATCAGCAACAGTCAAGTCAGGAAACCAAAATACACCACCATTAGTAAAATCATTAATTTTTTCAGTATTTATTATATTATCATCTGCAATGAATTCAGCATTTTCAAAATTGCTGGTATCGATCTTGTTTTTGTTATTAGCGGAATTAATCATTTCGCGTAAAGTAAAAGACATGCAAATGAATAATGGAATTTGATACCATGGCATCAAATAACTTTTTATTGGATGCCATCCAATTTCTTTATATATTTCATTAACCTTTACCGTAACCTTCAAACAAAACCAATAAATAAATAAATAAAATTTTAAAGAAAAACTATTTTTAATAGATACCTCTTTTTGTAATGCAGCCTGAAACTCCTCGTAACTACGATTCTCCATTTTGCATTTTCTTGCAACTTTATGTTTCAATTTTTCGATCCATGAATTTATTAAAAGTTGATCACTTAATAGTCCAGAGTAACTCCTTTTTTGATATATTTCAAACGGTAAAGTAAATACTGAACGCAGAATTTATGTTGTGAATTTTGAGGTTGTACTC